TTATATAACTAAATCTAGTTCTAATAGTAAGGATCTGTATCTACATTTATTTATGTCTTTGGGAAGCTTTGGCATTAGGGTTACACTGCACCATAAAACAAATTGACAGTAATCCCTCCTCTACTGTTTTCGGAAGGTGTTTGCTTAAGATTGGTGTTTTTTCTTATTTAGATGACTGATAGAATCCACCACTTAATCCCTGTAGGCCATCCATTTCTTTGTTGGAAGGTTCTGACTGTGCATTAGATTCCTTCAATAGATATAGGTATAGCCAGATGTCAGCTCATCTCTTCCTTCATGGGGTTTAGTAGTTTGTGTATTTTGAGTAGGTGTGACATTTTCTTAGGTATTCTAGTTAACAGCTTAATATTGCCTTATTGTCCTCACTATGCTACTTTTTAAAATATTTATTTATTTATATGAGAGGCGGAGTTACAGACAGAGAGAGGGGGAGAAAGAGAGAGAGGTCTTACATCCTCTGGTTCACTCCCCAAATAGCTGCAGTGGCTGAAACGGGGCCATCCAAAACCATGAGCCAGGAGCTTCTTCTGGGTCTCCCACATGGGTTCAGGGGCCAAAGTACTTGAGCCACGGTTCACTGCTTTCCCAGGCCATTAGCAGGGAGCTGGATGGGAAGTGGAGCAGCCAAGACCCTGACCAGCACCCATGTGGATGCTGGCACCACAGGCGGAGGGTTAACCTACTACTCCAAAACACCAGTCCCCTCAATATACTTTTATTGTCTGTAGGATACAGCTTTTTCATTCTTAACATTGGTAATATCTATTTTTTCTCTCTATTCTACTATATCTTGACAGAGTTTTGTTTGATTGCTTAAACGAATGATTTTTAAGTATTATTTTTTAATTTTCTATCTCATTTTTTTCCTTCTCTTAGATTTGTGTTTTCGTTTTTTTCTGTAATTTCTTGAGGAAACATCTATCTTTGATTCTTAAATTTCTTCTTTCTAATAAAAACATTTAAATCTATCAGTTTCCCTCTAAGAACTAATTTAGTAACATTCTGTATTTCTGATTTCCTTTTTGAGTAATGGATATTTAGAAGTATATTGTTTAGGCCAGCGCTGTGGCTCACTAGGCTAATCCTCCACCTTGCGGCACCGGCACCCCAGGTTCTAGTCCCGGTCGGGGCGCCAGATTCTGTCCCGGTTGCCCCTCTTCCAGGCCAGCTCTCTGCTGTGGCCAGGGAGTGCAGTGGAGGATGGCCCAAGTCCTTGGGCCCTGCACCCCATGGGAGACCAGGATAAGTACCTGGCTCCCGCCATCGGATCAGCGCAGTGCGCTGGCTGCAGTGAGCCGGCCGCGGCGGCCATTGGAGGGTGAACCAACGGCAAAGGAAGACCTTTCTCTCTGTCTCTCTCTCACTGTCTACTCTGCCTGTCAAAAAATAAAAAAATAAATTAAAAAAAGGAAGTATATTGTTCAATTTCAAAATATTTTGTATGGGATCAGCACCATGGCATAGTAGGCTAGGCCTTTGTCTGTGGTGCCTGCATCCCATATGGGCACAAGTTCATGTCCTGGCTGTTCCACTTCCAATCCAACTCTCTGCTATGGCCTGAGAAAGCAGTGGAAGAGGCCCCAGTGCCTGGGCCCTGCACCCACATGGGAGACCCAGAAGAAGCTCCTGGCTCCTGGCTTCAGATTAGCACAGCTCTGGCCATGGTGGCCATTTGGGAAGTGAAGCAGCGGATGGAAGACCTTTCTTTCTGTCTCTTCCTCTCTCTATATATACAACTCTACCTCTCAAATAAATAAATAAATAATCTGGGATATTTTTAGATATCTTATTGTTATTTAATTCAATTCCATTTTTGTCAGAGAATAAAATACTTTTTAAAGATTGCTGTATTTTGAAGTTTATTGAGTTTATAATTCAGCATATGATTAGTCTTGATCAACATTCTATGTGCAATTGACAAAATGTTCTGCCTTTGGTGGTTAATAGTATTCTGTGAATATGACTAATAAAAGGGTGTTAAAAATCTTCAACTATGGGGATTTTACTAGTTCTGTCAGGTTTTGTTTTGTTTAAAGCTCTATTTTGTTAAGTACATGTAATTTTATAATTGCTTAATTTTAATGAACTAACCCTTTTATTATTTTTAAATATTCCACTGTATTTAACTGCTACTCCTTGCCATAAATTTTGTTTTTCCTAATACCACAATTAGCACCTTGCTTTCATCTGGTTGACTATTTATGTGACTTTTTATCATTATGAAATATTGCACTGTATCTCTGCTAATATTGCTTATCATCAATTCTGTTTGATCTATTAAAATTAGTCACTTCATCTTGTGTTCCTTAGAACTTACATGATACATCTATTTCCATCCTTTATAAAGTTTAGGCATACCAAAGTATTTTTCCTAATTTTTCATTTTCATTTTATTTGAAAGAGAAAGAGATCTTCCATCTGCTATTCACACTCCAAATGCCTGCCAATAGTCAAGGCTGGAACAGGCGAAAACAACAGCTAGGAACTGAATCTTAGTCTCCCACATGGGTGGCAGGGACCCAAGCCCTTGTGTCGTCTTCTGCCTTCCCAATGTGGACGTTAGCAGGCAGTGATTGTGGAAGCGGAGCCAAGACTCTGACCTGGCACTCTGATATGGGAAGTGAGCTGCACAAGTAGTGTCTCAATCACTGCATGTGAGCATTTCTGTTTTATTCAGTCTTTCAGTACATCCCTTCAAAATAGTGTTCAGTCCAAGCCTACTATTTTGTCATTCGTTTTCTGTTTCTTATTTTTTTTGTTTCCCTCTTAGATTTTTCTTTTCTCTGATGAATTATGCCATATTTTTCTTAATAATCTTTAATATATTTATAAAAGCTGTTATAAAATTCTTTTTTATTGATAAATCTCTGAATCAATTTAAAATCTTTTTCTCTGTTTTTTTCCTTCTTTCTCTGGTCATAATGTTCTTTATTTCCCCTATACCTCAAATAATTTTTATTGTTAATAGCATGTTGTAACTCCTTTGCATACAATTTTCTTCTACAAAGCCGTAATTCTTATTTTAATAGTTAACTTGCCTGAACTCAGATTGATAACTTTTTCCTTCAGCTTTAAGCTATTACTTTATTCTAGGGCTACCTGGAGTCTTCCTTGAGTGTGTCTGCATACTTTCAGGGTATGCAGGTAGCTAGCTGGAGTTTGTAGATATTTCAAGACTAAACTGTCAGTTACTCTTTCTTCTGCATAGACTGTTTTGGGAAAATGACATGTAAGTTAGTCCATCTCCCAGGGTCACGTTCACTCTAGTTTCTGTCAGCGTTTGGCGAGTTTTCAATGCCTTTAAATAGTGGGGTGGTTTTCATTCCCAGAGTATATAAGTGTTAGAATTCTCTAATAGAGAGGAAGATGATTTTAATGTTTATAAAGTATAAATGTATCAACAAGATTTCCTAGTAGAAAGCCCATCTCAAAGTAATTGGTAACCTTGATTTTCTTTTATTTAAATTACCTGCAGAGAATATATGATATAGTATAATCAGATAAAGAAAGATATTTTTTAAATGCGGTAAGCAGGAGCTGGCACCGCAGCGCACTAGGTTAAACCTCTACCTGCGGCGCCAGCATCCCATATGGGCGCTGGGTTCTAGTCCCAGTTGCTCCTCTTCCAGTCCAGCTCTCTGCTGTGGCCTGGGCTAGCAGCGGAGGATGGCCCAAGTGTTTGGGCCCCTGCACCCACATCGGAGACCAGGAAGAAACTCCTGGCTCCTGGCTTCGGATTGCATAGCTCTGGCCATTGCGGCCATTTGGAGAGTTAACCAATGGAAGGAAGACTTTTCTCTCTGTCTCTTTCTCTCACTGTCTGTAAACTCTACATGTCAAATAAAAAAAAGTCTATATCCTATACTTATTCTTCTTTAATTTTAAGTCACAAGATTCACAAAATTGGCATGTTATCCTTTAAATATACTATCAACATTTAATTTTCTCAAAGTTTTCAGCTTTAGCTAATAATACAGTATACTTTAAAAGTATATTTCAAAACTTATCAAGATAAAAAACTTACCACTTTCAGATTTTTGTCTATTAGTAGTTTGATACACATTCCTAATCATTTAATAGCTAGTACAAAATAATATTGACTAAAAGGCAGCAGTCATAAAATAGAGTTCTTATTTAAAGAAAATTATTCTACATGCAAAGAAGTTAAAATATTCAAAAATATGAACCTGAAAGAAGCATTAATAATAATGTCAGGTACAATTGTATTTTAATATCATAGAAAAAATTAAAACTATTATCTAAAGAGATAGGACCTGCTTATCAAATTTATTAAATAGAATTCCCTATGTAGACTGTAATATGTGTACAATAAAATAAGAATGCTTATCATTTCAAAATACCTACTTTTAGGATCTCTGTGAGTGAGATCCCAGCAGAAAGAATGGGCCATCAAAGAAGGAGGTACCTTTCTCTGAAAGGAGGAGAGAACTTCCATTTTGACCATGACCTTGTCTAAATAAGATCAGAGTTGACGAACTCAAAAGGCCTCCATAGCCTTGGCAACTCATGACAAGAGCCTCGGGTGATTACTGACACCATAAACAAGAGTGTCAATTGTTAAATCAACAACAGGAGTCACTGTGCACCTGCTCCCCATGTAGGATCTCTGTCCTTAATGTATTGTACTATGTGAATTAATGCTGTAACTAGTACTGAAATAGTACTTTACACTTTGTGTTTCTGTGTAGGTGCAAACTGTTAAAAGCTTTACTTAATATATACTAAATTGATCTTCTGTATATAAAGATAATTGAAAATGAATCTTGATGTGAATGGGATGGGAGAGGGAGCAGGAGATTGGGAGGGTTACGGGTGGGAGGGAGGTTATGGGGGGAAAAAGCCACTGTAATCCAAAAGCTGTACTTTGGAAATTTATATTTATTAAATATAAGTTTAAAAAAAAAACAAAATACTTTTAACATTGTATATATATTATATATATATATATTATATAATAGATGGTGAAGAAAATGAAGATGCCGGAGTAGCCTCTTTGCCCACTCAACCACCTCAGCCATCATCATCCTCAGCATTTGACCCAGGCAGCATGCCATCAGGCAGCTATAGTGGCATACAGATTCCTCCGGGTGCACACGCTCCAGCCAACACACCAGCGGAAGTGCCTCATGGCACAGGTAGGAAATTAAAGCTTAATGACTTTTGGATTTCTCTTTTATACATATGAACTACACTTCTTATCATGTCTGTGCCTTATTAATGGTATTCATGAAGTATAAGATCTTAAATTCCATTTGATGCCACAGAAAACATTTAATTCTTTTCATTGAAGTTTTAATGTTAGTTGTATTTTATGTTTGAGAAATAACAAGTATTTATATGTAGATTACAGTTAACTTTATAACTTACTAATGGGAGTAGTGTCTGTGTTTTTTATGTATAGTACTCTTTTTTTCTTTTTCTTCCTTTACCCTTCATCCCCCTTCAATATTGTTTAAGAAGAGCACTGAGTTGAGTGAAGTATGTCCTAGGCTGTGTGATGGTCGCACTCCAATAGCAAGAGTAGATTTTCCTTGCTTTGTTCCCTTAGGACCCTGCTGCTGCCCGTCACTTAAGGAGGAAGTAGAGGGTTTGAAGCTCAGAATCTCAGTAGCCATAAAATCTCTAGACAGGTGAAAGCAGGAGCTTCATGTTATTTTTTCTTTAACATGATAGACATATGACTTTACAAGAAAAGAAATATCTGTTACCTTTGAGAAAATCTATACTGTGTGGTCATAGACAAAAAGATCTGATAGAATGAATCTCCAGTAGTCAGTGTCGATAGACAAACTGAAGGTAGTCTTTCATTTAATCGTATTGTTGACAAAGTATTACTCTTACTTCCAAATAGAAAGTTCTTCACTGGGGGCCACTGCACATATGCCTGTGATACTGGCATCCCATATGGGCGCCGGCTCAAGCCCTTGGTTACTCCACTTCCAATCCAGCTCTCATGTGCCTGGGTAAGCAGCAGCAGATGGTTCAAGTAATTGGGTCCCTGCCATCCATGTGTCCATGTGAAAGACCTGGATGGAGTTCTAGGCTTCTGGCTTTGGCCTGGCCCAGCCCTAGCTGTTGCAGTCATTTGATGGGTGAACTGGTGGATGGAAGATCTATGTCTGTCTCTCTCTGTCCCTCCCTCTTTGTAACTCTCCCTTTCAAATAAATTAGTGCAAGGAGAGTCATCAATTGAACTCTGGTTTCCATTTTTAATATGTAACATACCATTGCTACATTAGCTTTCAATTGCCAGCCTCCGTTTACCCAAAATGTTTAGATTATTTTGTATGAGTTGAATAACATTTAAAGTTTTCCTATTTTGACCTTTGTACTAGCTATCATGTTGGCCATCTTCCTTCTGTTTTAAAACTTTCAACTTTATGTTATATAAAGATACTACTAATATTTTGTCTTTAAGATTATTAATGTAAGTGTTCATTTTGATACTGATTTCCTTTGTATATCTTTTACTGTGGACTTGTCAATGCATATTGTTCTGGGTGGTGACATTAGTAGTAAAACTAGTTTGAATTTCTTTTGCAAGTAAAATTTCATGGAACATTGTTTTAAGTATTTTACTGTCTTTTAGAAATGTTCAGTATTTTCAGTGTAGAATAATGTAGCAGAACTAGTTACTTCAGTGTATTTACCTTGGATGAATACTGTTTTAGTTATACTTGAAGTTTAAACACTAATTAAGAGTTTCAGATACAGGCATTCTCATAGAGAGGTCAAGTGAGAATGCAGTATATTTTGGAATCAAAGACTGTTGGTTATTAATTTCTATCCATTACTAATCATAAACTTAACTAATAATCAACTTCTATAACATTGAATTTTTCTCTTTCTAAAATGAAATTGATCATGTCATGATTATTTCAGTTATTAAAAGGGAAAAATAAAAACTGACTAGTGCTGTGCCTAACACAAAATCAGCTTTCAGCAAATTAGCTTTCTTTCCTTCTTTCCCACCCTGTTCCTTCCTCTTTCTGTGCCAGAGATAGACAGGGTATTTAATGGTAAGTTAATGAGCATTTACAATCATTTTGTGTATCAATAAGGTATCACACCTGGAGAAAGATTGCCCATGGACTTTTGCTTTAGGCAAAGCTGTGTGTGTGTGTATGTTTGTATGAAAGAGAAAATAGCTTTCTTTTTTTTTTTTATTTATTTGACAGAGTTATAGACAGTGAGAGAGAGAGACAGCGAGAAAGGTCTTCCTTCCGTTGGTTGACTCCCCAGTTGGCCGCAACAGCCGGCGCTGCACTGATCTGAAGGCAGGAGCCAGGTGCCTCTTCCTGGTCTCCCATGTGGGTGCAGGGGCCCAAGCACCTGAGCCATCCTCCACTGCCTTCCCAGGCCACAGCAGAGAGCTGGACTGGAAGAGGAGCAGCCAGGACTAGAACCCAGCGCCCATATGGGATGCTGGCACTGCAGGCGGAGGATTAACCAAGTGAGCCATGGCTCCAGCCCCAAAAATAGCTTTTATTAGTAGGGCTAAAATAAACTGATCCATATAAAATTGCTATTTTTGAACAACATAAATGATAAAATATTGGTAATTTCCTGTGTTCAAACTAATATAGTATCTTCTGGGTAAAATATTCATGACATAAAAATAGATATTAGGAGGTGGTATTCTATTAGGAAATTTCCAGGCATAAACAGTATATTTTGATTCAGTTTAATAGTTATCATGGGCCCTGTGTTAAGGCATAGCAGGTAAAGCCACCTCTTGTGAGGCCAAAATCCAATATGGGCACCAGTCCAAGTCCCAGCTGCTCCACTTCCAATCTAGCTGTCTGCTAATGTGTCTGTGAACGCAGCGGACAATGGCCCAAGTGCTTAGGCCCTGTACCCACATGGAGGACCTAAATTAAGCTCTTGGCTCCTGGCTTCAGCCTGGCCCAGCCCCAACTGTTGCAGCCATTTGGGGAGTAGATTAGCGGATGGAAGACCATTCTCTCTGTCTCACCCTCTCTCTCTGTAACTCTGAGTTTCAGATGAATAAATAAATCTTAAAATAATAATAATCATAATAGTAATCATAGCTAATTTATACTTATAGTACAGCAACTTTATTTATTTATTTATTCATTCACTCATTCATTCATTTAAGTCAGAGTTGGAGAGAGAAAGATCTTCCTTCCTTTGGTTCACTCCCTAGATGGACACAATGGCCAGAACTGGGCCACGATGGAGTCAGGAGCCAGGAACTCCATTTGGTTCTACCATGTTGGTTGCAGAGGCCCAACCACTTGGGCCATTTTCTGCTGCTTTTCCAGGCCGTCAACAAGAAATTGAATCTGAAATGAAGCAGCTGGAAAATGAACCAGCAGACATATAGGGTGCTGACATCGCAGACAGTAGCCTTACCTGCTACTCTACAACACCAGCCCAGATATTACCCTAAATTAAAAAGTCTGAAGAGATTAGGCAATTATCTCAAGAAAACAAACATACTTAGTAAATGACATAACCAGAATTTGCACCTAACTCTCTCCAACTTAATATTTTTCCACTTCAGTACTGGCTTTTGTTTGTTTGTTTGTTTGTTTTAATTTGTTTTTTGAAAGGCAGTTAGGGCCGGCGCCATGGCTCAATAGGCTAATCCTCCGCCTAGCGGCGCCGGCACACGGGGTTCTAGTCCCGGTCGGGGCACCGGATTCTGTCCCGGTTGCCCCTCTTCCAGGCCAGCCCTCTGCTGTGGCCAGGGAGTGCAGTGGAGGATGGCCCAGGTGCTTGGGCCCCGCACCCCATGGGAGACCAGGAAAAAGCACCTGGCTCCTGGCTCCTGCCATCGGATCAGCGCGGTGCGCCGGCCGCAGCGCGCCGGCCGCGGCGGCCATTGGAGGGTGAACCAACGGCAAAGGAAGACCTTTCTCTCTGTCTCTCTCTCTCACTGTCCACTCTGCCTGTCAAAAATAAAAAATAAATAAATAAATAAATAAATAAAAATGAAAGGCAGTTAAAGAGAGAGAAGGAGAGAGAGATTTTCCATCTGCTGGTTCACTTCCCAAATAGCTGCATCAGCCAAGGCGGGGCCAGACTGAAGCCAGAAGCCTGGAACTTCTTCCAGGTCTCCCACATGGGTGCAGGAGCCCAAGCAGTTGGGCCATCTTCTGCTGCTTTTCCCAGGCCTTCAGCAAGGAGCTGGATCAGAAGAGGAGCAGCCAGGACTCGAACTGGCACCCACATGGGATTCCAGCATCTCAGTCAGAGGCTTAAGCTGCTAGGCCATGGCACCAGCCCCGTTTTCTCTTGTAAGGATCTAAAATCCTATCAAATCAAAAGCTACATTTATGAAACTTTATTTCTCTTAAAATTGATTCAAGATGTTGGGATCTCCAACTAGCCCCCGGATTTTTTTCCATTATATTTGAAAGAGTAAAAAAAAAAAAAATCAGTTCATAGTTGTCTAATAAAAAACAAAATAACATTTATAGTTTATAAATATAGCAGATGTTTCCCCTCTTACTCACTTTAAGAATGATTTACTTTCTCTCATATAAAGGTCCAGGATGTACTTTTATCAAAGGGAAATCCTTAAGATAGCTGAGAAGAATAGTATGTACTAATTTACAGTTTTTAGTTCTTCCACAAGAAAAGCAAAAGGGGTGCTAGGAGGGCAGGCATAGTGATTGTTTAAGCAGGCGAAGTGTTTGCCTCTTGTGCTTTACTCTGCAAATATCTTATGTAGGTAATAAAACTATACAGTTTTTTCTTTCTCTATAAACATGATTTTTGCAGCCTGTGAATATTAGGGGGAAAGATCTTACTGAAAAAAACTAATTAGATTAAATAATAGGATTACGTTATGATTAATGCTAAGCTTGTCATTGTAAATGCATCTCACCTCATCCATAAAGCAAAAACGGACCTGGGTTATACACTTCATTTCAGTTCTTTTGTTAATCTTTGGTATTCAGTTCTTGATATTCTGGCCTCAGCATTTTTCTCAGTGCTGTATCAATGAAGTTCCATTCAACCCTATTCTTCTAGTATCTTAACATTGCCTTTCCTATTCCTCACAAGTAGCATGTTTTTCTCCATTTTTGTCTGCTTTCTGAATCCTACTTACTTTGAGCATTCTGTTTAGTAACACTTTCTGGATAACCTTCTTTAATTTTTTTCATTTATTTTTTTCATTTGTTTGAAAGAGAGAGAAATCTTCCATCCACTGGTACATTCCACAAATGCCCGCAGTAGCCAGGGGTGGGCCAGGACAAAGCCAAGAAAATGTTTGTGACAAGGACCCAAGTACTTGAGCCATCACTTGTTGTCTCCCAGAATGAGCATTAGTAAGAAGCTGGAACCAAAAGTGGAGCCAGGAGTCGAACCCAGGCACTCCAATATGGAATGTAGGCCTTCCAAGTTGCAGCTTAACCCTTCAACCAAGTACCCACCCTTTTTCCAGTTTTATTATCTATTTTTTTTTTTTTTTGACAGGCAGAGTGGACAGTGAGAGAGAGAGACAGAGAGAAAGGTCTTCCTTTGCCGTTGGTTCACCCTCCAATGGCCGCCGTGGCCAGCGTGCTGCAACTGGGGCACCGTGCCGATCCGATGGCAGGAGCCAGGTGCTTCTCCTGGTCTCCCATGGGGTGCAGGGCCCAAGTACTTGGGCCATCCTCCACTGCACTCCCTGGCCACAGCAGAGAGCTGGCCTTCCAGTTTTATTATCAACACCTATCCCTTTCCTAATGTAATGCCATTTAGTCTGTAGAACAAGTTAGTACTTAAATAGAAATCTTGTAGTATTTAATTATTTAACATGTATTGATCCTACCTAATATGCTACATAAGCATCTACATAAGAATTAATTAGAAACTACTAATTATCACTAGTAGTTTTGTTAAGTAATAGGAAGAAATTTCCAGCACAGTTCTGTTTTCTGCAAGAGTATTTTTATGATCTCATTACTCTGCCATACTGCAGTCTGGGGTTTGTTACCCATTTGCAAATTGACAAGTGAGATCAAAAAAAGAAAGAAAAATGACCAGAATTGGGCATCTCAATAAATAAATAAGTAGCTTAAACTAAAACCTATTTTACTAGCTTAACAGGTGCTTATGAACTTGTGGTGAGCTAATACCTTAGGCCCCAGTGGAAGCATGTTCTCCATGGCTGCCATAAGGACAGGCCTTACTTCAGTGCTTCAAGACAAATGGCAGTGTCAGGCATGACTGGGCTGCCTGAGGCATGTTGGATCTGTGTTGTCATTTCAAGCCTTAACTGAATGTCTATGACCAAAAGTCTTCAGATGCAGCCTACATTTATTTTTGTGTTACCACTCAAATAATATTATTGTACCACATAGCTCAAATTTTCTGTCTCTTAAGTTGTTTTGTTCTTGTTAATACTAAGTTGAATTTCACGTATTGGGCTGTCCCAATAAGCATTTAAAACCCAAAGCAGAATACTAACAAGAAAAGTATTCCTTTTCAGTAAATCTGTTTGGTGGATTTTAATTTGAGCAAAAATACAAATTGCTTCACAGAGAATGATGTTGCTATTAAGGTTGGGTCGTGAGAGGATTGTACACTTGGATTTATAGCATATTTATGTGCCTTTTGATGTTTGGCAAGTTCTGTGGAGAAAATTATGTCATGTATTCTTAGTCTTTGGTTAGCTCTTATCAAAACCAAGCAAAAAGTAGTCATTGAATTGGTCAGCTTGAAATTCATGTGTTTGTTGACTTTGTAATCCTACTTCTATAAATTTTTATGTGAATATATTCACACATATATACAGAATAAGAATATTTCCTGTAGTAGCAAAGATCAGCAACAACTGAAGTGCCCATCAGTAATGGACTGGTTAGTGAACTGTGATACAGACATAGAATAGAACACCATGTAGCTATTAAATCAGGCAGACTTATGAGTTACTCTCGAATTATTGCTAGGAAATATGAAGTAAAAAAATGCACAAAACTGAATAGTATGGGGCCGGTGCTGTGGCGCAGCGGGTTAAAGCCATGACCTGAGGTGATGGCATTCCATATGGGTGCTGGTTCGAGACCCCGCTGCTCCACTTCCAATCCAGCTCTCTGCTATGGCCTGAGAAAGCAGTAGAAGATGGCCCAAGTCCTTGGGCCCCTCCACCACCGTGGGAAACCCAGAAGAAGCTCCTGGGAAACCCAGAAGAAGCTCCTGGCTCCTGGCTCCTGGCTCCTGGCTCCTGACTTTGGATCAGCACAGGTCCAGCCATTGCAGCCAATTGGGGAGTGAACCATCAGTTGGAAGACCTCTCTTTCTCTTCGCCTCTCCTCTCTGTGTGTAACTCTGACTTTCAAATGAATAAATAAATCTTTAAAAAAAATGAATAGTACGCACAGCGTTGCTTAAAGAGAAGCAATGTTAGGATGGAGGTGAAACATCCTGTTCTCAAAGAGGAGCAATGTTAGGGTTGGGGTAGAAACTCAGGCATAGCCCTAAGTAACATTAATAATGCATAATGTATTTTCCTACATGTCTTCTATGCCAGCCTCCACATCACATAATTGTATCCAATTAAAATACATACAGTTTCAAGAAAACAAGTAAAATTAGAAAATTCTTCAATGATTCTTTAAGTTCTTTCCTGGCACATAAATTAAGAAATGTCATACTTTATACCCATTTGTGATTTTCTGATTTGCAGGTGTAACAAGTAATACTATCCAACCTGCTCCACAGACTATTCCAGCCATTGATCCTGCACTTTTCAGTACAGTTTCCCAGGGTGAGTCAGCTTACTGTTTTGTGAAATGTATTTTTTTCTCCTGTCAGGGATTGGTGGGGAGGGGAAAGTATTACTTTGTAATTTGACTTTGAGCTATACTTTAAGTGTTCTTAGTTAAATTTGAATCTCTAGGTAGTTCAAAGCACATTTCTCTTAATACCTTTGTTCACTAGATTCTCAAATGAAACAAGAGCATTTCATACTATCAAAAATACCTGAATACAAAGGGGTAACCTTTTGTTACAGTTCCTTTTTTGTACAGTACTGGATATGGTGACACAAACATCTAACTACAGGTGCCATGAAAGTTTGTGCTCGATTACATCTGTTTGCTCAAGGTTACTATGTGTTGTGATTATGAATCTTCCTTACCTACACTAAGTTTATTTTTATTGAGTTTTTTATTTTTTTATTTTTTTAACTTTTATTTAATGAATATAAATTTTCAAAGTACAGCTTATGGATTTCAATGGTTTCCCCCACCATAACTTCCCTCCTACCTGCAACCCTCCCCTTTCCTGCTCCCTCTCCCCTTCCATTCATATCAAGATTCTTTTTCTATTCTCTTTATATACAGAAGATCAGTTTAGCATATATTAAGTAAAGATTTCAACAGTTTGCACCCACATAGAAACACAAAGTGAAAAATACTGTTTGAGTACTAGTTATAGCATTAAACACACAATGTACAGCACATTAAGGACAGAGATCCCACATGAGGAGTAAGTGCACAGTGACTCCTGTTGTTGACTTAACAGATTGACACTCTTGTTTATGACATCAGTAATCTCCCTAGGCTCCTGTCATGAGTTGCCAAGGCTATGGAAGCCTTTTGAGTTCACCGACTCTGATCATATTTATACAAGGTCGTAGTCAGAGTGGAAGTTTTCTCCTCCCTTCAGAGAAAGGTACCTCCTTCATTGATGACCTGTTCTTTCCACTGGGATCTCACTGGAGGAGATCCTTCATTTAGGTTTTGTTGTTTTGTTTTGTTTTGTTTTGTTTTGTTTTGTTTTGTTTTGTTTTTGCCACAGTGTCTTGGCTTTCCATGCCTGAAATACTTTCATGGGCTTTTCAGCCGGATCCGCATGCCTTAAGGGCTGATTCTGAGGCCAGAGTGCTGTTTAGGACATCTGCCATTCTATGAGTATGCTGTGTATCTCGCTCCCCATGTTGGATCGTTCTCTCCCTTTTTGATTCTATCAGCTAGTATTTGCAGACACTAGTCTTGTTTATGTGATCCCTTTGACTCTTAGTCCTATCATTATGATCAATTGTGAACAGAAATTGATCACTGGGACTAGTGAGATGGCATTGGTACATGCCACCTGATTGGATTGAATTGGAGTCCCGTGGTATGTTTCTAACTCTACCGTTTGGGCCAAGTCAGCTTGAGCATGTCCCAGATTGCACATCTCTTCCCTCTCTAATTCCCACTATTATATTTAACAGCAATTACTGTTCAGTTAGGCTTCAACACTTAAGAATAACTGTGTATTGATTACAGTATTCAACCAAAAGTATTAAGTAGAACAAACAAAAAAAAATACTAAGAGGGATAATGTATTAAGTTGTTCGTCAACAGTCAGGGCAAGGGCTGATCAAGTCACCATTTCTCATAGTGTTCATTTCACTTTAACAGGTTTCCTTTTTGGTGCTCGGTTAGTTCACCGATCAGGGAGAACATATGATATTTGTCCCTTTGGGACTGGCTTATTTCACTCACCGTAATGTTTTCCAAATTCCTAACAGGGATCACTTTTCAGTTAAAATTTGAACACCTAAGAATAATTGTGTGTTAATTACAGAGTTCAACCAATAGCACTAGAACAAAACAAAGAAAAAATACTAAAATGGATAAAGTATTACATTGTACATCAACAGTCAGGACAAGAGCTGATCAAGTCACTGTTTCTCATAGTGTCCATTTCACTTCAACAGGTTTCCCCTTTGGTGCTCAATTAGTTGTCACCGATCAGGGAGAACATATGATATTTGTCTTTTTGGGACTGGCTTAATTCAATCAGCATAATGTTTTCCAGACTCCTCCATCTTGTTGCAAATGACCGGATTTCATTGTGTTTGACTGCTGTATAGTATTCTATAGAGTACATGTCCCATAATTTCTTTATCCATTCTACTGTTGATGGGCATTTGGGTTGGTTCCAGGTCTGAGCTATTGTGAATTGAGCTGCAATAAACATTAAGGTTCAGACACCTTTTTTCTTTGACCAATTTCATTTCCTTTGGGTAAATTCCAAGGTGTGGTATGGCTGGGTTGTATGGTAGGGTTATATTCAGGTTTCTGAGGAATCTCCAGACTGCCTTCCATAGTGGATTAACCAGTTTGCATTCCCACCAACAGTGTGTTAGTGTCCCTTTTTCCCCACATCCTCTCCAGCATCTATTGTTGGTAGATTTCTGAATGTGAGCCATTCTAACTGGGGTGAGGTGAAACCTCATTGTGGTTTTGATTTGCATTTCCCTGATTGCTAATGACCTTGAACATTTTTTCATGTGTCTGTTGGCCATTTGGATTTCCTCTTTTGAAAAATGTCTGTTGAGGTCCTTGGCCCATCTCTTCAGTGGGTTGTTTGTTTTGATGTTGTGGAGTTTCTTGATCTCTTTGTAGATTCTGGTTATCAACCCTTTATCAGTTGCATAGTTTGCAAATATATTTTCCCATTCTGTTGGTTGCCTCTTCACTTTCCTGACTGTATCTTTTGCAGTACAGAAACTTCTCAGTCTGATGCAATCCCAAATGTTAATTTTGGCTTTGACTGCCTGTGCTTCTGGGGTCTTTTCTAGGAAGTCTATGCCAGTACCTATATCTTGCAGGATTTCTCCAATGCTCTTTAATAATTTGATGGTGTCGGGTCGTAGATTTAAGTCTTTAATCCATGTTGAGTGAATTTTTGTGTAATGTGAAAGGTAGGGGTCTTGCTTCATGATTCTGCACGTGGAAATCCAATTTTCCCAGCACCATTTATTGAATAGACTGTCCTTACTGCAGGGATTGGTTTTTGAATGCTTGATCAAATATAAGTTGGCTGTAGATGTTTGGATTGATTTCTGGTGTTTCAATTCTGTTCCATTGGTCTATCCATCTGTTTCTGTACCAGTACCATGCTGTTTTGATTACAACTGCCCTGTAGTATGTCCTGAAATCTGGTATTGTGATGCCTCCGGCTTTGTTTTTGTTGTACAAGATTGCTTTAGCTATTCAAGGTCTCCTGTGTCTCCATATGAATTTCAGCATCATTTTTTCCAGATCTGAGAAGAAGGTCTTCGGTATCTTGATTGGTATTGCATTGAATCTATAAATTGCTTTTGGGAGAATGGACATTTTGATGATATTGATTCTTCCAATCCATGAGCATGGAAGATTTTTCCATGTTTTGGTATCCACTTCTATTTCTTTCTTTAAGGTTTTGTAATTTTCATTGTAGAGATCTGTAACGTCCTTGGTTAAGTTTATTCCAAGGTATTTGATTGTTTTTGTAGCTATTGTGAATGGGATTGATCTTAGGAGTTCTTCCTCAGCTGTGGCATTGCCTGTGTGTACAAAGGCTATTGATTTTTGTGCATTGATTTTATTTCCTGCTACTGTGCCAAATTCTTCTATGAGTTCCAATAGTCTCTTAGTAGAGTTCTTTGGGTCCCCTAAATAAAGAATCATATCATCTGCAAAGAGGGATAGTTCGAGTTCTTCCATCCCAATTTGTATCCCTTTAATTTCTTTTTCTTGCCTAATAGCTCTGGCTAAAACTTCCAGAACTATATTGAATAGCAGTGGTGAGAGTGGGCATCCCTGTCTGGTACCAGATCTCAGTGGAAATGCTTCCAACTTTTCCCCATTTAATAGGATGTTGGCTGTGGGTTTTTCATAAATTGCTTTGATTGTATTGAGGAATGTTCCTTCCATACCCAGTTTGCTTAGAGTTTTCATGATGAAAGGGTGTTGTATTTTATCAAATGCTTTCTCTGCATCTATTGAGATAATCATATGATTTTTCTTCTGCAGTCTGTTAATGTGGTGTATCACATTGATTGTTTTGCCCACATTGAACCATCCCTGCATACCAGGGATAAATCCCACTTGGTCTGGGTGGATGATCTTTCTGATGTGTTGTTGCATTCTATTGGGCAGAATTTTATTGAGGATTTTTGTATCTATGTTCATCAGGGATATTGGTCTGTAATTCTCTTTCAATGCTGCATCTTTTTCTGGCTTAGGAATTAAGGTGATGCTGGCTTCATAGAAAGAATTTGGGAGGATTCTCTCTTTTTCGATTATTCTGAATACTTTGAGAAGAATTGGAGTTAGTTCTTTTTTAAATGTCTGGTAGAATTCAGCAGTGAATCCATCTGGTCCTGGGCTTTTCTTTGTTGGGAGGGCCTTTATTACTGTTTCAGTTTCTGTCTCAGTTATGGTTCTGTTTATGTTTTCTATGTCTTCCTGGTTCAATTTAGGTAGGTTGCATGTGTCCAGGAATCTATTCATTTCTGATAGGTTTCCCTGTTTGCTGCCATACAAGTCCTTGTAGTAATTTCTGATGATTCTTTTTATTTCTGTGGTGTCTGTTGTTACGTTTCCTTTTTCATCTCTGATTTTATTGATTTGGGTCTTCTCTTTTTTTAGTTAGTTGGGCCAATGGGGTGTCAATTTTGTTTATTTTTTCAAAAAACCAGCTCCTCGTTTGGCTGATTTTTTGTAATTTTTTTTGTATTCAATCCTGTTGATTTCTTCTCTGATTTTAATTATTTCTCTTCTCCTACTAGATTTGGGTCTGGTTTGCTGCAGATTTTCTAGATCCTTGAGATGCATTGAAAGCTCATCTATTTGGTGCCTTTCCCATTTCTTGATGTAGGTACCTATTGATATAAACTTTCCTCTTAACACTGCTTTTGCTGTATCCCATAAGTTTTGATATGTTGTGCTGTTATCCTCATTTACTTCCCGAAAATTTTTGATTTCTCTTTTAATTTCTTCTGTGACC